CCTCTCCCACTCACCCTGCTTCTTGTGTTCCCTCTCTGGCTTTGTCAAATAAAGAAATAAAATCTTTAAAAAAAAATAAATAAAAATCACTTTATTGGAGGGGCACCTGGCTGGCTCAGTCCATGAATCAGACAATTCTTGATCTCGGGGTTGTGAGTTCAAGCACCACGTTGGGTGTGGAGATTACTTAAAAAAAAAAAAAAAGTCTTAAAAAAATAAAAATAAAAATCATTTTATGGAATTTTATGTTAATAAATGACCACAGTAGAGCTGCACGGTAATGTTGTGTCCTTTAGTAGTACTCCTGTAACTGCCTGATCCCGACAGACAATGGGGAACTGTTAAAGAGCACGTGTAGTGGTGAGGCCAAGTCCTAGCAGCAGCAACAAAATTGCTTAAATCAATAGGCTGGCTCAGGTGGAGTTCATGCTCTGTGCTCGACCATCTTGGATTGTTTCAGGATGTCGGTTTTTGGGTTTTGTTTGTATTTACAGTAAATGGGACATATTTAAGTCCTTATCAGAGGACTTGGGTAGTTAATTTTGACGCATTTGATCCTGCTTCTTGTGCAACAAGAGTGTGGCAATGGGAAACTGGGTGGGGGGAGGGGTGACCTTTTCTTGCTACACTGTTGTTTATAACTAGAGGGCTGTCATTTTGGAAAGCTTCATACTGATTTTTACTTGTAGTTGATAATAGTATAGAACATTGTATGTGTTATGTTACCTCTAAAGAATGTTCCAAATTTTCATAAAAGGTAATGTCAAAAGCAGAAGTAGCATATTTCTGAGTTGGTTTTTTTTTTTTAAGATTTTATTTATTTATTTGAGAGAGAGAGAGAGAAAGCACGAGCAGGGGGGAGGGGGAGAGGAAGGAGCAGGCTCCCCGCTGAGCAGACCTGAGCCGAAGGTCCTCCCTTAACGCTTAACCTGTTGAGCCACCCAGGAGCCCCTATTTCTGAGTTTTTTGTTGAGTTTCCGATCTTAAACCTCTTCCCCCTTGGACTTCTCAGTATCAAAGTCGGCTAAATCAAAACTTGGTACAAGTGGTTTTAGGAACATGAACTTTTAATGGTTAGTCTTTGAGGGACTTAAAGTACATTTTTTCAACATCAGAATTTTTCACTGGTGTCCAGTATGAGTCCATGTGAAGTTCTTAAATTATAACTAGTATTTCTCTTCTATTGCTTCCAGGGTTTTGGAACTCCTTAATTTAGGGGAGGGAATAAATGTCTTTAAACCTTAAGGTAGATTTCTTTCAGGTTTTATGAATTAGTGTTTGGTTTCTTACACTAAAGGTGCCTTTGTGTGTATGTGTAAGAAAGATTGAGAGAGAGAGAGAGAGATTTTATTCTAGAGCAGGTGTTAAGACTATGCAACTGAATTGAATTTGATAGTTTAACATTGAAATGAGACCTGGCATTTTGCAGGCACTTTTGACTTGGAACAAAGACTTTTCCATGTTTGGAAACTGCCTCATTAAGAATATATGTTTGGGGGCGCCTGGGTGGCTCAGTCGTTAAGTGTCTGCCTTCGGCTCAGGTCATGATCCCAGGGTCCTGGGATCGAGTCCCACATCGGGCTCCCTG